GCCTCCCAAGTAGCTGAGAATATAGGTATGTCCATCACACCTGGCTAAATCTTGTAATTTTTGTAGAGATGGGGTTTCACGATGCTGCCTAGGCTGGTCTTGAACTCCTGGGCTCAAGAGACCCACTGGTCTTGGCCTCCCAAAGTGAATCACAGACAAGAGCCACTGTGCCTAGCCCAAGCTGCTTTTTTTCATTTGTTTGTTTGTTTGTTTGTTTTTTAGACAGAGTCTCACTCTGTTGCCCAGGCTGGAGTGCAGAGGTGCGATCTGGGCTCATTGCAACCTCTGCCTCCCAGTTTCAAGCAATTCTCCTGCTTCAGCCTCCCGAGTAGCTGGGATTACAGGCATGTGCCACCATGCCTGGCTAATTTTTTGTATTTTTAGTAAAGATGGGGTTTCACCATGCTGGCCAGCGTGGTCTTGAATTCCTGACTTCAGATGATCTGCTCACTTTGGCCTCCCAAAGTTTCTTTCCAGACAATTCTGTGAAAAGGTATCCATCCTCATTCACAGAGTTGGGCAAACCCTGAAGTAGACTGGATTTGGAACGTCACACTCACTCTGGACTGTTCTTCACACTGGAAAAGCTAAGAGTGTAAACCCTTGACTGTCCTACTAGAGCAGGTGGGGTGTAAATCCAGCTCTAGCTTTTCTTCTTGGTGTGGCCATGTTGTACTTTATGCAAAACCTGATTAACCCAAGCCACTGACTAGTTTGAAGGTGGCAATGTAACCCGATTCTGGCCAGAGAGCAATGAAGGACATTAGCTGGAGGGCTCTGGAAGAGTTTCCTTGCTGATGAAAGGGACACACTGAGGAAGAAACAAACTTCTTGCTTCTCCTGGACCTTGTCATGTCCACGTTTGATGCCTGAAACTGTGGTGGTCATATCGGGACCCAAAGGGTAGCTACCCCAGGGCAAGCTGAGACCCAGAAGATGGCAGAGTGGAAAGATGGAAAGAGAAACTCTCATATTTGTGCTCAAAGACACACATGCAATGTTTATAGTGCATTATTTATAGCAAAAAAAAAAAAAAAAAAAAAAAAAAGCCCATCACCAGGTTCAGTGGCTCACATTTGGGAGGCCGAGGTTGGAGGATCATGAGGTCAAGAGATCAAGACCATACTGGCCAACATAGCGAAACCTTGTTTCTACTGAAAACACAAAAATTAGCTGGGCATGATGGTGCACGCCTGTAGTCCCAGCTACTTGGGAGGCTGAGGCAGGAGAATCGCTCGAACCTGACAGGTGGAGATTGCAGTGAGCTGAGATTGCACCACTGCACTCCAGGAATGAAAGATAAATAAATCTTGTATGTTCATACAATGGAATACTATGCAGTGATGAAAAAGAATAGTTACAGTTACAGATTTCAATACAATGAATCTCATAAACATAATGTTGAATGTGAAAAATAAAAAAACTGAAGCATACACATAGTATGATGTTTGAGTGAAGTTTAAAAGCATCCAATACTATGCCTTAGCAAAATATATATGTAGGAAAAAGTATAAAATAATGCACAGAAAAGCACTACAATTTATTGGGTGCTTACTGTGTGCAAAGCATCATGCTAACAAATAGCCAACCTGACTGAATTCTCACATTGACCCTTAGTGAGAAATACTATTTTTTTTTTTTTTTGAGACAGAATCTTGGTCTGTCACACAGGCTGGAGTGCCGTGGCATAACCTTGACTCACTGCAACCTCCGCCTCCAGGATTCAAGTGATTCTCTTGCCTCAGCCTCCTGAGCTGCTGGGACCACAGGTGTGTGCTACCATGCCCAGATAATTTATTTTGTTTTGTTTTGTTTTTTTGAGACGGAGTCTCACTCTGTTGCCCAGGCTGGGTGCAGTGGTGTGATCTCAGCTCACTGCAACCTCCACCTCCTGGGTTCAAGCAATTCTCTTGCCTGAGCCACCCGAGTAGCTGGGATTACAGGCACCCACCACCATGCCCTGCTAATTTTTTTGTATTTTTAGTATTTTTAGTAGAGATGGGGTTTCACTGTGCTGGCCAGGCTGGTCTTGAACTCCTTAGCTTGTGATTTGCCCACCTTCGCCTCCCAAAGTGCTGGGATTATAGGTGTGAGCCACAGCACCGACCATTTTTTGTATTTTTTTTTTCATCCTGAGATGGAGTCTTGCTCTGTCGTCCAGAGCTGGAGTGCAATGGCTCGATCTTGGCTCACTGCAACCTCTGCCTCCTGGGTTCAAGCAATTCTCCTGCCTCAGCCTTCCAAGTAGCTCGGATTACAGGCACGCCCCACCATGCCTGGCTAATTTTTTTTTTTTTAAGTAGAGATGGGGTTTTACGCTGTTGGCCAGGCTGGTCTCAAACTCCTGACCTCATGATCTGCCCTCCTTGGCCTCCCAAAGAGCTGAGATTACAGGTGTGAGCCACTGCACCCAGCCCATTTTTGTATTTTTTTTTTTTTTTTTTTTTTTTTTGGAGATGGAGTTTCTCTCTTGTTACCCAGGCTGGAGTGCAATGGCACGATCTCGGCTCACCGCAACCTCCGCCTCCTGGGTTCAGGCAATTCTCCTGCCTCAGCCTCCTGAGTAGCTGGGATTACAGGCACACGCCACCTTGCCCAGCTAATTTTTTGTATTTTTAGTAGAGACGGGGTTTCACCATGTTGACCAGGATGGTCTCGATCTCTTAACCTCGTGATCTACCCGCCTCGGCCTCCCAAAGTGCTGGGATTACAGGCTTGAGCCACCACGCCCGGCGCCCATTTTTGTATTTTTAACAGAGATTGAGTTCAACATGTTGGCCAGGCTGGTCTTGAACTCCTGAGCTCAGGTGGTCTGCTTACCTCGGCCTCCCAAAGTGCTGGGATTGCAGGCATGAGCCACTGTGCTGGGCCAAGAAATACTATTAATATCCCCACTTTCCAGATGAGAAAACTGAGGCCTAGAGAGGGGAAGTAAATTAACAATGGCATATAGTGGTTCTTTCTTTCTTTCTTTTTCTTTTTTTTTTTTTGGAGACGGAATTTCACTCTTGTTACCCAGGCTGGAGTGCAATGGCGCGATCTCGGCTCACCGCAACCTCCGCCTCCTGGGTTCAAGCAATTCTCCTGTCTCAGCCTCCTGAGTAGCTGGGATTACAGGCACACACCACCATGCCCAGCTAATTTTTTGTATTTTTAGTAGAGACGGGGTTTCACCTTGTTGACCAGGATGGTCTTGATCTCTCGACCTCGTGATCCACCCGCCTCGGCCTCCCAAAGTGCTGGGATTACAGGCTTGAGCCACCGCGCCTGGCCCTAGTGGTTCTTTCTTAAGTACTAAAAACCTCATTTAATCCTATAAGGTAACAATTATCATGTCTCATTTCAAAATTGAAGGAAAGGAGAATCCAGCTCACACAGAGATCAAGTGCTTGAGGTGGAATTAAACACAGGTTTCTTCTAGTTCTGAAGCCTGTGCTTTTCCACCAATAAATTATCACATCCACAAAGCATGGGAATGTAAGCCACAACACAAACACACACATATACACACACCCAGGCCTTGAACTTGAACCATATGGAAATGGATAAAACATCACACATTGCTGCACCCAGAGCTCCCATCCCATCATTAGTATTATTTTTAACTGAACCCTGAACTGAACAGAAGGGAACAGTGCTCAAATTGAAACTGAACTTGTATATTTTTTCAAGCTGTTGAACTACAATATTTAAATATTCTGGAGACAGAGACAATTACATAGAGAATTCTATGTTAACCCCTTTGCTCTGTATATTTTGATTTGCCTAAGATCACATGGTCATGACACACCCAAGGGATTCTTCATCATTACCAAGCAGTTGTAGGTGAATTTTTCACTACTTCTACCCCTCGTTTACCCTTTCCTTCCCTTTGTGGCCAGGCAGGGACATGGATGTTCCTGTACCCACCAGCTGTGATCCTCTCTACATTCTCTATCTTCCCTCCGAGCTCACATCCTTGTCAATGTTTGCTGAATGAAGAAAGGAGGGAGTAGGCCCTATGAGATGTGTATTTCCCATCTCCAAGGACAGGGAGTTCCAACCTGAACCTGATTCCTTGGGGGTCCCTGAGCAGAAGCTTCATGCCTGGGCTGAGAAATTGGAACTTGTCACCAAGGCCAATGATCCTTAGTATTCGAGCAGCCTGGCTGGGGTGTCTTGGGATCCAGGTGGCCTTTGTCTCATCTGGACCAGGCCAGCACAGTTTGTGGCCCTCCTCCACAGCAAGAGGAGGGGCTCTGAGGAGGCTTGGGGGCCCCTGGGGAGACATCCATCTTCCAAGAGCTTTATCATTTTTTCCATAACAGTATCCTCCCTTCAAGGTGGAAAGTCCCAGCTGGCAACTGAGGATGCTGTCAATGTGCTTTTGTTCTCTGCCTTGACACTAGCGCAGGCAGCAGGGCTGCAGACAAACACACCTTCCTTTTTATACAAGCCTGTTCCAGGCTTGCTGTGCCAACAAATGGTGCAACACAGACCACCCTTGATGCTATGAGCTAGACCTCTCTGGTGTGAATTCTGGTTCTGCTACTTGCTAACTGTGCAATCTTAGCAGGTTACTGAACTTCTCTGTGCTACAAGTTTCTTCATCTGAAAACTGGTGTGATAATATGATCAGTTTTCAGGATTTCATGAATTAATGTATGAAGAACGCCTAGCACAGCACCTGGTATACAGTAAGGGTGATGTAACTGTTTGCTGTTTATTGCATGACTTTGGGCTTGGACAACTCATCTCCTCTGTCTGAGTCTCAGTTTCCCTGATTGTACAACTAAGACGGCAGTTCCTGCCTTCCTTTCGACCACTCATCTGGCCCTTTCTCGCTGTACAGCCTTGGAGAGATTTTTGGGTTGTCTTAGCCTCCATGTCCTCATCTATTAAACGGTACCTATTAAGTAGAGGGTTGTGGTGATGAGAATGTGAGAAAATCTGTACCCAGCATGCAGCATTGGGCCCAATACTAACAGAGAAAGAGTTAAGACAAAGTTGGCTATTTTTTTGGTTTTGTTTTTATGGATGAGAAAGTACTTTCTAAACTATAATAGGCTGTGTCCCTGGAAGGGAGAGTGTGGCTTTCTCACATGCTTTTCCAGCCACTGCCTATTCACAGACACCTAGAATCAGAGAGGACAGGATTGGAAGGGCCACTTGACAGGTAATGGATAATGAATTAATGGATATCCATTAATAGATAATGAATTAATCAATTCAACAAATATTTACTGAGTACCTATTATGAGCCAGGCACTGGTTGTAGGTGCTGGGGTCAGGGCAGCACTGGGGGCCCTTCCGTCAAGGAGCTTTCATTCCTGTGGGGCAGACAGACAAAAACATGTGAATACATATGCTAGGCAAAGCCTCATAAGCAGGTCTTCACAGTCTCAGCATATCTTACCCTTAACAAATCCTGGTTTCTGCAAGGCCTTAAGGTATGATAGCAGGGCCGGGCCCAGCGGCTCATGCCTGTCATCTCAGCACCTTGGGAAGCTGAGGTGGGAGGATCTTGGATTCAGGAATTTGAGACCATCATGGGCAACATAGCAAAACTTTGTCTCCACTACAAATTAAAACAAAAAAAGCTGGGTATAATGGCACATGCCTATAGTCCCAGCTACTTGGGGGATGAGGTGGGAGGATGGCTTGAGCCTGAGAGGCAGAGGCTGTAGCAGGCTGTGATCGCACCACTGCACTCCAGCCTGGGCAATAGACAGAGTGAGACCCTGTTTCACAAAAAAAGATAGGCTAGCAGCAGCCCACATTTATTGAATCTTCCTAGACACAGGAACTGTCTTAAGCATTTTATACATCTTAAATCATTTAATCTTCACATCGACCATAAAGGAAGGAATTGTCATGAATCCCATTTTATGGATGGAGAAACTAAGGTACAGAGAGATGGAGGGGAGCAGGGTTTGAACACACACCCCACTGGTTCAGGGCTGTGTCCTCAATCACCCTGCCGTCTTGCTGTGCTTGCTGGCTGCATAACTCTCCTTCCCCCAACACCACCCCCACACTCCGCCATCTCGGTCTGCACCGGTTCTTTTTTCCTTCCCCCTTTCCTCCCCTATCACCGTTCAAGTATTTCTTCCACATTCTGAGTGGCCTTGGGGTAAGCGCTCTCTCTCTCTCTCTCTCTTTCTGTGTCCCTCAGTTTCCCCATCTGAGGATGGGGGATTGCACTGGATTATCTTCTGGGCTTTCCCTGACCACTTTAATTTCAGCTCCTCATCAGTTTGCCATTCTTTTATTTGCTGATTAGTTTTCTAGTCTGCCTACTGCCTACCCCACCTTGCTGTGAGCCACCGCGCAGTGAGAAAGAACCCTCTTTCTGTTCACCAGGTCTCCCTGGAGGCTGGCACTGTGACCTGCACTTAGTAGGCCCTCAATAAATATTTGTAGATGGAGAAAGGACGGAATGAGGGCGACTGTACTCAGTTTTCTAAAGCCAGCTCCTGCGCTCTCTCCCTGGCCCCTCTTCCTTTCTCAGCCCTTCCCCCTACCCGCTTCCCTCCCGCCCTCTCACCTCCCAGGGCCCACTCCGGCCCTCCATCCGGCCTGCATTTTTCCGGGTTTGATATCATTTTTTCCACTCTCCCGGCTGCTGCCGGCTGCTTCTGCCAACTTTCCACAGCTAGAGCCCCTCCCCCTGACCGCAGGCCAGAGACGGCTTGGGGTGGGGGAAGACCGTCTCTTCCCTTCCCCAGGCTGGGGTTGGGGTTGTGGGAGTGATTACCATCACTCCCCGCTGGAGCTGGAAGGCTGGGGAGCCGGGAGTCGTGGCTGGAGGACACGGGGCTGGCTGGCGGGGGCTGCTGTCTTTCTCTGCACTGCGACCCCCAGGGCTGGGGCGTCTGGGCCAGTTGGAGGGAGGGATGTCAGGCGTCAGGGACGCGGTGGTCCAAACGGTTTGCGTCTTGTTTTCCTCTCAAAGTAGTGACACTTCCCTTCGGGCTGGAAACTCCTGACCTGATCCCCAACACCCAGCCCTGACCCCAGCCAGGCTGGACGCCTCACCACCTCCTTCCTCCCACACAGCCAAAGGGAGCTCCAGGAGGAGGCTGGGCCTTGGGGTGTGGTCCTCCCTGGCCCGGTGACTCTGGCTTGCTCACCTCCCCTCTCAAGCCTTGTTTCTGCCTTAGGGAAATGAGTGAATTGGATTAAATTGGGGTCCATCCCCGGGATTAATGGATTGAGTTTCATAGAGTATTCCCGCCCCAACCTCCTTTAAATTGGATGTGAAATTATGTCTTTAAATTAGTTTTCCTAAGATTCTACAGGGTTTTGTAACATCTTTAAAGAGGACAGTGGATAAGTTGGTCACTGGAGTCTGACAAGCCTAACTGGAATCCCGGCAGCTTCACGAGTAGCAGCTGTATGACCTTGGCGGGCCTTCACTGTCCCATGCCTCAGTTTACTAATGAGCAAAATGGGGTTAATTGTAACACCCTCCTCCCAGGCGTTGGGAGGATTAACTAATAGTGGTGGCTGGGCGCGGTGGCTCAAGCCGGTAATCCCAGCACTTTGGGAGGCCGAGGTGGGTGGATCACGAGGTCAAGAGATCGAGACCATCCTGGTCATCATGGTGAAACCCTGTCTCTACTAAAAATACAAAAACTTAGCTGGGCATGGTGGCACGTGCCTATAATCCCAGCTACTCAGGAGGCTGAGGCAGGAGAATTGCCTGAACCCAGGAGGCGGAGGTTGCGGTGAGCCGAGATTGCTCCATTGCACTCCAGCCTGGGTAACAAGAGTGAAACTCCGTCTCAAAAACAAAACAAAACAAAAAACAAACAAAAACTAATAGTGGCGACAGCTTAGTACCCAGCTCCCAACAAACGCCAGCACTTCTATTGCCAGGATGAGGTCCTTCCAGACATGAGAATCTAGAATGTAAAAAATGGGTTAATGAGAAAGTAGCTGGTCACGGAACTGTGGTTGGGATCCACTGCCCGGAGAAAGGCCTGAGCACAAAATTGGTCCAAGGACTTTATTGATTGGCCCTGACACCCGGGCCAGCAGACTAAACCAGTCTGTAGTCAAGTGTAGATGGGAGGGCAGTAGGTGGAGATGACCCCAAGAGCCGAGACGGAGAGGTCTGGGCATTCAGATGGGTCATCCTTCTAGTCTGGTTTATTGTGAGGTTTTCTAAGGGTTGGCTAGAGCCCAGGGACAAGGAAGACTTTTTTACAAAAAGACCCCCACCAGATAAAAACTACGTTGCGCCCAGCATGGGGCTTTGGTCCATGGCTTCCTTGGCGTCCCCCAGGCTTGGATCTGGGGGATGCTCAGGCCATCAGGGCAGGTAAGCAAGACCCACGTTGCTGACTCCAGGGAGCGGCGCTTTTGTCCCGCAGTGTCGTCCGTGGAGCCCGGAATGCACCTCAGTGACCTGTCAACCCTCCGAAGGGCGGGCGGCTTCAGAGCACGGCCAGATTGTGGCAGGACTTGGAGCGGGCCTTGAGTGCCCGGCGGCGTGCGCTGCGGGCTGTCAGGCGTGCCAGGAAGCGACGAGCGCGCTGGGCTAGGCTGGCTCGCCGTCGCGGTGCTGGGGACTCCTCGGCCACACAGTCCTGGCGGCGCAGCCGCAGTTGGCGCACGACGCCCTCGAAGAGCTCCGCCACGTTGTGCTGCAGCGCGGCTGACGTCTCGATGAATTTACAGTCGAACACCACAGCGCAGGCGCGGCCCTCTGAGGGGGCGGGGCCCGGCGAGCAGGGGTGGAGCCACAGCCGGAAGGTGGAGAAAAAGGTAGAGAAGGTGTGTTCAGTCTCGATTGGAAGCAATTTTTCCTGTGCCCAGACCTGGTGCTGCTGTCTGGGGACTCAGGTAAATCAGACTGGGCTTTGAGGGAAGACAGAAAGGCTGGGGTCAGGTAGGGGCCAGATTGAATGCCGGGTGAAGGGTCTAATTCATTGGGATTACCTGGGGGAGCTTGTTAAAATGCAGATTACTGGACCCACCCTCAGAGTTTCTGATTCTGTAGGTTTGGGTTGAGGTCTGGAAATCTGTGCTTTAACAAAATCTCCTGGGGCTTATGTTGCAGGTTTTCTTTCTTTCTTTTTTCTTTTTTTTGGATGTCTGTCCACAAAACATACGGTTTTCCACCTCCAGGATGCCACTGGGTCCGAGTTCTAGTCCTCAAGGGCTGGTGACTGTGAAATTGGCTTTTCTTTTCTGGGTCTCAGTTTACACATTTTTAAGATTTTATTCTGTGAGTAAAACCATTTAAAAATTTCATAGGCCCCATCTGATATGTCAAACTTATTAAAGTATTCCCCATCCCATTGTAAATACAATCCATATGCGACATTTAAAGTTTTGGTTTGTAGTTGCTGGCTGACAGATACGTTTTGCAGACAATTAAAGCTTTGAGAAATTTGCATTTCTAATTTTTTTCACTGTATTTTGGAGCCAATAATCGTTGTTTTCAGTTCTCAAATATAAGCCCTTGAAAAGCCTGTAGGCACCAGGGCCTATTATGTTGGTGAATAAAGTCTCTGATTAAGGGGATAGGGGAGCCGTAGAAGAATTTTTTTTCTTCTTCGAGGCAGAGTCTCATTCTGTTGCCCAGGCTGGAGTGTAGTGGTGTGGTCTCGACTCACTGCAACCTCTGCCTCCTGGGTTCAAGCGATTCTCATGCATCAGCTGCCCAAGTAGCTGGGATAACTGGTGTTCACCACCACACCTGGCTAATTGTTGTATTTTTAGTAGAGATGGGGTTTCACCATGTTGGTCAGGCTGGTCTCGAACTCCTGACCTCAAGTGATCCACCTGCCTGGGTCTCCCAAAGTGCTGGGATTACAGGCATGAGCCACTGTGCCTGGCAGGGTTTTTTTTTTTTAAAAAGAGTTAAAATTATTTTTTATTTTTTGTAGTGAGAGGGTCTTGCGGTGTTGCCAAACCTAGTCCTGAACTCCTGGGCTCAAGCAAGTCCTGCTGCCTTGGTCTCCCAAAGTGCTAGAATTATAGTTGTGAGCCACCATGGCCCGCCACATACAGGCATTTTTAAGAAGCGTAAATTTAGCTCTGGTCTTGGAAAATTCTGGCAGCTGGTGAGGAAGAATGATTGAGAAGTAGGAGGACTGTCGAAGGTAGAGATGCCAGGATAGCACAGAGGCTGTCGGCACAGAGGGAAGGGATGTGGGATTAATGGAGGTGGCCTGACAGGACTTAAGGACTGGTTTGGGGGTGGTGAGAGGGGAGGCAGGAACGGTTCCTGGCTTTCAGGCTTAGGCAACTGGCTGCAGGGTAGGGGCAGCTTGGCAGGGACAGTCACTGAGATGAAGAGTGCTGGAGGAGCAGCCATGACAGTGGGGCCCAGAGGAAGAGGAAGGGTGGGATGGAGGGCTCACCTTCCACGGAGACTTCTCGGCAGCGGGCCAAGTCCGCCTTGTTGCCCACGAGGATGATGGGCACATGGTCTGCCTGATGTGTGCGCCGCAGCTGGATGCGGAGCTCAGAGGCACTCTCAAAGCTGCCTCGGTCTGCGATGGAGTATACGATGATGTAGGCACAGCCCTGCTGCAGGCATGACTCCCGGCTCCAGCTTTTATCCTGTGGGAGAGGGACCCAAGGCCCGTCCTCAGAGAGTATCTAGGACCTGGCTGAGAAAGGTGGAGCTGGGATGGTCTAATGGGTGGGATGGGGCTGAGGTTTATAGTTTGGACAGGTGTGGGGGACAAATTCTGCCATAATTCCCTGTGTCACCTTGGGAAAACCAGTGATTCTTTCTGAGCCTCAGTTTCTCTGCTTGAAAGTTTAGGCTAATAACACCACCTCACAGAATTCTCTCATTCACGGTTAGTTTTGCAGGCTGGGTATTGGAGGCAGCATTTACTTGGTTCCTGTTCCTGTTAAAGAGGGTTCTGCCTTGGCCTGCTCGGCACTTTTGCCTTGTTTAGGAGGGTTTAGCCTTCCCATATGGTTCTTGAAGGCTGCTGTAATCCAGAATGAAGAGAAAAAAAGAAAAGAGAAGTGAGGACAGGAGGCTGATGTCAGAGGGAAGGCATTTTTCAGGACAGTTTTAAGACGGAAGTGAAGGAGCAACTTCAAAGTGTAATTTCACAAGGGGATGAGAGAGGCACGGAGCACTTTAAGAAGTGGAGTCCTTTCAAGTTGTTTGACCAAGAAAAACAAAGAACTGGACTTCCGCTGATATTTTGGATGGTGATCTTTTGTCAGGGTCAGGCCCTCCAAGACTGGACTACTTGGGTAATAACTTTGTAAGTGTTGAGTAAGACACAGTTTCTGCCCTCCAAAAGCTCATGATCTGGAAGAGAGGCTGTGGAAATGGGGAGTTACAGTGCAGTGTGAAAGTGCCAGTAAGAGGCATGTGCAAGTGGCTGGAGGAGTGGGGTCGGGAGGCCAGAAGAACTTCCCCTGGCAGAGTGTGGGAGGGCTTCACAGGGGACTGGTGAATGGGGTTAGGAAGGAAGGTCAGGCCAAGCAGGAGAGAAGAGATTCCAGGCAAAGGGAACAGTCGGCGCTAAAGGGAAAAAGACTGAGTGTGTTTGTGAGGTGGGGAAGAAGCCAGAAATTTTCTTTTCTTTTTGAGATGGAGTCCCACTCTGTCTCCCAGGCTGGAGTGCAGTGGCGTGGTCTTGGCTCACTGCAACCTCCACCTCCCAGGTTCAAGTGATTCTTCAGCCTCAGCCTCCTGAGTAGCTGGGATGACAGGCACCTGCCACCACTCCCAGCTAATTTTTGTATTTTTAGTAGAGATGGGTTTCACCATATTGGCCAGGCTGATCTCAAATTCCTGACCTCAAGTGATCCACCTGCCTTGGCCTCCCGAAGTGCTGCTGGGATTACAGGCATGAGCCTCCACACTCAACCAGAAGCCAGAAATTTTCTGATAACCAAATGGGAATTTGGTGATGAATAGGAAACCATCAGATCCATGGTCAACGTTATTGTCAAAGCGGGGTAAGTTCTCAACAGCCATATTGATCATTTCCCAGACCAAATAACCTTAGGGTGAGTCAGACTGATGTGGGTTCTCAACCTTGACTACAGACAGGTTTCTTCCTCTGGGTCTTAGTTTTCCCCATCTCTAGAATGAGAAAGTGAGTCTTGACCATTCTTTCATTCATTCATTGCACAAATATTTATGGAGGATTTGCTGTGTGTCAAGATCACAAAAGCCAGTTGGTGCATGGATTTGTGTGTAAGAACTCATTGGCAGTGTGATTAAAAATATAGATTCTTGCCGGGCGCGGTGGCTCAAGCCTGTAATCCCAGCACTTTGGGAGGCTGAGGCGGGTGGATCATGAAGGTCAAGAGATCGAGACCATCCGGGTCAACATGGTGAAACCCCGTCTCTACTAAAAATACAAAAAATTAGCTGGGCATGGTGGCATGTGCCTGTAATCCCAGCTACTCAGGAGGCTGAGGCAGGAGAATTGCCTGAACCCAGGAGGCAGGAGGTTGCGGTGAGCCGAGATCGCGCCATTGCACTCCAGCCTGGGTAACAAGAGCGAAACTCCGTCTCAAAAAAAAAAAAAAAAAAAAAAAAAAAAAAAATATATATATATATATATATATATATATATATATATATATATATAGATTCTTGGCTGGGTGCGATGGCTCATGCCTGTAATCCCAGCACTTTGGGAGGCTGAGGCGGGTGGATCACCTGAGGTCAGGAGTTCAAGACCAGCCTGGCTAACATGGTGAAACCCCATCTCTACTAAAAACACAAAAATTAACCAGGTGTGGTGGCAGGCACCTATAATCCTAGCTACTTGGTAGGCTGAGGCAGGAGAATTGCTTGAACCCGGGAGGTGGAGGTGGCAGTGAGCCAGAGCCAAGAGCATGCCAATGCACTGCAGCCTGGGTGACAGAGCAAGGCTCTGTCTCAAAACCTAAATGGCGAGTCTTCTGATTCCCATTCTACTGATGCGGAAAGTGAAGACCAGAGAGGTTAAATAATAATGATAATAATAATGTGTCCAGAGCTCTCAAATAGCAAGTGAAATTCAAACCCAGATCTACAAAATCCCAGAGGCTGTATTATTTTTATTTTTATTTATTTATCTTTTTTGAGACGGAGTTTCACTCTTGTTGCCAGGCTGGAGTGCAGTGGAGTGACCTTGGCTCACTACAACCTCTGCCTCCTAGGTTCAAGCAATTCTCTTGCCTCAGCCTCCCAAGTAGCTGGGATTACAGGCACCCGTTACCACGCCCAACTAATTTTTGAGCCACCACACCTGGCTGAGTTCAAGACCGGCCTTACCAACATGGAGAAAACTTGTCCTTACTAAAAATACAAAATTAGCAAGGTATGCTTGTAATCCCAGCTACCCGGGAAGCTGAGGCAGGAGAATTGCTTGAACATGGGAGGTAGAGGTTACAGTGAGCTGAGATTGCGACATTGCACTCCAGCCTGGGCAACAAGAATGAAACTCCATCTCAAAAAATAATTAATTAATTAAAATAAATAAAAATCAAATTTATCAGGCCTCACCCTTGACCTAGAGAATAAGGAGCTCTGGTCAGGTGCAGTGGCTCACACCTGTAATCCCAGCACTTTGGGAGGCCAAGGCAGGTGGATCACCTGAAGTCAGGAGTTCGAGACCAGACTGACCAACAAGGTAAAACCCCATCTCTACTAAAAATGCAAAAAATTAGCCAGGCATGGTGGTGCACACCTGTAATCCCAGCTACTTAGGAGGCTGAGGCAGGAGAATTGCTTGAATCTGCCTCAGGAGAATTGCTTGAACCTGGGAGGCAGAGGTTACAGTGAGCCAAGATTGCAACGTTGTACTCCAGCCTAGGCGACAGAACTAGACTCCATTTCAAAAATAAATAAATAAATAAATAAG